TAATATTTTTAACTTTTTTTTCTTGCCAGGTTTTTTGAAAGATTCAGGGACCCTTTGAGGGTCCCCATGTAATAAAGCTGAAAATATTTCAACATTCTGGAAGGAAAAGGAAGCCTTATTCTTACAAGGGAACTTGTTCTAGGCAGTTGAATAAAAGGTAAGGTAATTAAATCAGATAACTTCTTAACTTCATCAGAAAACAAACCCACCTGAATTCTGCAGTCCCAGGTAAAGTGTTTTGGGGTCATTGTATTAAAGGTGGGACTTTCATTCCCCAACTTCGGCCTCCTTCTCCACCACCAAGGTACATCTTCTTGCTCCAGACTTTCTCCTGGTCTCAAGGGCCTGTGGTTCCTGAAGGCTGGTCTGACCAGGAAGGTGGTGGCATTGAATACCTTGGCCTTCTTGGTGTGTTTTGTCACCAGATCTCCTGCTCATTCAGCAGCGAGCCCACCAGAGGTGCACAGAACAGGCTGAACTGCCTGTTCCACACAAGTGCCATATCAATAAGCTGCAGTGCAATGCTGCCACCAAACTCGCTTCACCAGAGGAAAAAAACAGAATATTTTGCAGCACAACAAATGTGTAACCACTGAGCTGACCAATTATTTGCTTACATATTTTTTTCTATTTTTATGATTTTTTTTTTTTTAATTTTAAAATTGCTCAGGTTCAGCTTCTTAGAGCTCTAAGCATTTCTGCTGCCTCTTCCATGAAGAAAACACTCCCAGTGCTTTTGCTGTTTCTTGGTGAGAAAAGACACTCAGACATGTAAATATTGCTAGGAAAGGCACCTCCTCAATCTTCAGTTAATCAAACATAGGAAAAAAAAAAAAGGAGAGGGGAAAAAAAAAAGGGAAGAAAAACCAGAAATCAGGCAGGGCAAATGAAATAAATAATCCTTTATTTTCTTCTATGGAATAAATTTACTCATGCATTTAGTCATGAAGAAGAAACAGCTGTCCCTAGGCAGACACTTTAGTGTCAGGATGATGTTAGCTGAGGCAAAAGGTTGTAGGATTTATTTTTTAAACATGCAGTCCAATTTTCTTGAGGGAGTTTCCTTTAATTTGCTGCATGAAATGAGAAATCTAGCAGCGCTCTGAAACACTGTTAGCCTGCCAAGCTTTTTGGGATTGCTCCCTCCCCACAATTTTCTTTTTTAACAAACTTTACCTTAAAAAGCCTGTTGAGCTGTTTTAGGAGAAATCTCATGAAAAAAGTATAATTTTCTTTTACCACATGGATAATAGGGAATGACTTTTAGGAATGGTGGTGTATCTTAGGGCACATAGGTATTGTAGCTTGAGAGATTGTTGTGTTGCTTCTTTTTTCCCTGTAAAACTATCTAAACTCAATTTGTGCATCTCTCTCTGACCTCCCATCCCTGCGTAGCCTTCTTTGCAGATGTGAATTAGAACTAAAATACCCCATTTCTGGTACTCTGCTGCACAGCTGCTGAAGGGTGTCCAGCCTGGATGCCCTGATCACACCAGGATTTGACAGGCAGCTGGTGATCCCTGCCTGCAGGCTTTGTGTCCAGCCTCTTGCAGGACTTGGCCTATGGTCACAAAGGGGAAATTAACATTTTTACTGGGAATTAGTGAAGATCTGGGGCTGAGGAGGGGGCTTTTATTAGGGAAAAATAACTCTTACTCCTGTGTGGCAGCACAAAGCATACCAGCTCTTGCTTATCTCTGTGGTTTTTGCCTTGCACTCATAGGAAGGGCTACAGCCTTCCTGTGCAGCTGATGGCCACCTCTGAGGGCAGAGGTGGTTGTGTGGTCACATGTAAGACCCTGCAGGTTTCTTCTGCCACTTCAAACGGCACAAATTAACTTATATTATCTGAAAGACAGCAGCAGTTCATGGGCTGTAATCACAAATATGACTTGTTGGGGTTTTTTGTATAACAGCTAATTTGCCTGATTAAACCGATGTGACTTCATAATTTAAGGTCTTCTCTGTGTGAAAAAAGGCAAATTTATATGAATCAATAGATTGACTGCGCCTCCTTTGTGGCTCCAGGGGTACCTCTCTGCTCCCTTGGTGACGGGAATGAGGCAGGAAGCTGGGTGGCACATGGGGCCGGGGGGCTGCCTTGCACACTGTGCCCCAACTGGAGCTGCTGAGGTTTTTCAAGCCCTCTGTGCAGTGGCAGCCACACCAGGTCCAAAGGAGGAGGGTGTGGTGTGTGCAGCTTCCTTTGGATGGTTACCTTCTGTAGGCTTCTGCAACACAGGAAAACTCCTGATATTTTTCCTCCTTTCTACTGGTGTGAGAACTTCTACGCTATCC